AAACACCAAGATGAAGATTTTAAAGAGAATCAAGAAAAGCAGATACGCCTGATGACTAGAAAGCCAAGGGAAAACGAAGATACGTGAAGGAACGTGAGGGGCAAAATCAAGTTTATTTCCCTTTCAAGCAACAAGTCTTTGGATGTACAAAAGAGCAGAGGAAAGGGTAGGTGGATATGAAGCCTGCTTCAAGCAGAGTGAAGAATAATTGCAGAAAATAGAAGGCTTTTCTTTTAAAAGGCAACTGCAGAAGCCATTTCATAAAAAGAAGCCTGGCATTTCTGTTGCCCAAGTGATTATTATCATTACTGTTGTTACTACAGTATTTATTGAATTTCTATACCGCCCTATACCCGAAGGTCTAAGGGCGGCTCACATAAAATATCAAAAACACCAAATCAAAACCAAAAGAACGACCCAAGAACGGGTTCCCAGAGCAGAGACAGCAGGAGTCAGGCTATCCATGTCCAGAGAGAGGCGTAGCTGGGCCACCAGCCGAAGCTGATGGAGGACACTGGGGGTGACTGAGCGCCTTGCCTTGTCTCTCGAAAGAGGTGCAGGGCGACCAAGGCCTAAACCCTGATGGAAATGGATCCAGATATTCAGCTTCTTCCAAGGGCACCTGGATCTGGTCTGCGACCACTGGCTCCAGAACCTCGCTCCAGAAGTTGGAAAAACCAAGACGGGTAAGATTTTAAGACAGGTAAGACTTAGAAGTGAGAAGGGTAGGGGGATCTAGGGGGATCCAGGGGGAAAGAAAGCTGTGCATGTGATAAGGAGCAAAGCAGAGGCGCAGAAGACAACATAGTTCCATTTAATGTCATTTTAGCTCAGGTTGCCCTGTTGACAAAAATGCTTTGCAGCCATTTTGTGATAGCTTCTAGGGGACTATAGATAAGCTCCTTAGCTAATGGGCAGAACTTAATTTTATGTATAATGTGGTTTCCAAGGAGTAGAATAACAAACCCTCTTGAACAGCTGCTTAAAAGTGGTGGCATTTGGCACATGAAGCCAAACAAATTGTACTTACTGCAGAAGAGGGTCACCAAAATATTGTTGAGTTTTTGTTCCTTCAGATGTGTATAAATCTAGAAGGTTCCAAACATGCCAGCATTTTGGATCCTCGGCAGTAATTCTGTTCCTAAGGTAGAATACCCATTTAGAACACCCATTTTAAAAGCTGATGCATCAAACTGCTTCCTTTGTAACAGTTGCCTTGCTGATTTCAGTGTGAAAAAGCAAATAAGGCATTTTGAGGGTGAATCTACTGATGGCATTGGTAGAGGCGGCCTGGTAGAGGCCTTGGAGTGAGTAGAGGTTTTCACCATTTTGTCAGCCATTTTTAAGCAAAAAAAGTCCAGCAAATGTTTAAGCACAAACATATTCACAATTAGGAAGGATGAGCCGTGACCATTTTTTCCTGTACATAAAGGGCAGAAAATGTTGTCTGCTAATGGTAAAGCTGAAATGACTGAGAAAATATTTGAAATCTTATGAATTCCGTCTCTGGCCATTTTTACTCATACATAAGGGGGTGGCTGATTGTTCCACTAATGACCAGAGCGGGGCCACACAAAATCATAATAACCCACATTTGTCAAACATTTTGGAATAGAGGTCTGTACCCTTCAATCCTGTAGATAAAGGAGGCATGTAGCTCCCAATTTTCTTTGACTGGGGTACATGTATGATTTTTTTAATGCAGGGAACATGATCCATAAATGCTGAGACTTTATTAGAAGTTTAATTGCTGACTTTTTGGTGAAAACTTGCACGATAGGGTTGACAGTTGCTGGTTTTCCAACAAATACTAAAATTTGGATCCTCGCCAGTTCTTCTGTTCCTAAGGCAATATATTTTAAAACCTGCTGTAGCAAACTGCTTCCTTTACCTGTAACATCTCACTTATTTACCTTCAACTGCAATCGTAGCTTCTATTAAAAAAAACTTTTGAATTCTCAGAGGTGGCGATAGGCACTAATAACTAACAAGTGATCTCTAAATGCTCTATCGTAATTATGGCAGCAATACAGTTGTGTGTCTTCTGGCTGAAGGTCAACTAGGTGAGTATCTTGTGCTTGGCTGAGGGGAAAATCTCTGTTGTGTTCTGCCTGCAACTCTTTGTACAAAGATTCTTTCAGGTCGCAGTGACCATTCAAGCACCCTGAGCCTGTTGGAGAAAAGGTAGGCTCTAAATGGAATCATCCATCAAATATGCAAACTAAATAATCCAAAGAGCTTGTATTGAGCAACGTTGGTTATTCAATCCCTTTTTCAGAAGAGCTGCGAACTCGGAAGCCTAATGCGGTCGCTCTCCGTGCTTCTACCTGGAGGGACTTCTCTTGTCATGACACCACTGCAGGGGAGGCCCTTTCCTGTGCCATCACCACACAATAAGGTACATCTTTTGGTGGGACAGCCAGCCTTGTTTTGTTCCAGCTCTTATTTTTACAGACTTCACAGAGCTACCTGTGCCGGAAGCAGATCTGCTCCATTGAAAAGTAAGAGGCAGTGTCAGAGCTCTTGATACATCAAGTGAACATCTGCAGTGCAGGACTGAGAGACACCTGCGTCTTGACTGCGCTGCTTTAGGTAACCGGCTGTTTTTGCTCCTGTGTCTGGAGGGGAGGGCTGCTGAAGACCCTAGTCTCTTCCAGGTGCATCTCAGTGATGCAAGAAATAGAATTTGGAAACCTTCAGGAAACCTAACGGCAAGTGAACTTCACACTCCACAATTCAGTGATCTTTTTCAGTCCGATCCTTTTGTGCTGGCTTTTCCATTTCCCCCCGCTTGATCTCTTCATAGTTCTGTCCCAGAGCCCACCACACTCAGGTGAAGCCAGCTCTTCCTGCAGAAGTCAGGTCAGTAAGAAGAGCTGTGTTCCAAAAACATTTCTCTGGAATTGGTGGGAAAGGGCCGGGGACAAACTAATGAGTCCAGATTGCTTTTCACAGACCAGCAGAAGGAACTTCCAGGCCCATGAATTCACACTTCAGAGGGACAAACAAAAAGGTGAGCATAAAGGCAGAGTTTGAAGACTGGAACCTGCCCTGCAAATTAATGGCAGTCAACGTGGCACTCTGTGACTTAAACACATCTAGGTGAATATCCCTTACTCATGGCAAGGGATAAAACCTCGATTGTGTTCTGTCTGCAACTTCATAATTCTTAAGGGTTTTCTTTTTTCCTGAGAGAACATTCTGTGTTCAGAGTGTTTTCTCAGGTTTTGCTTTTCACCTTGTTGCATTGGCCAAAAAAAAGCAAAAGACGCTGGTGGTTGGCGCTCCTGGTTTCCAGGACGGGGTTCAAGCCCCTGCGGTGTCCCTGCTTACTTCCAATGCAACCTCTCTCTCTCTCTCTCTCTCTCTCTCTCTCTCTCTTTCTCTCCCTTAAGAACTTAATGAAGCAAGGTGCTCCGCTGATGCGCCACTGGTGTGTGTCTAAGACAAGGTGGATGACATGGATGCTTCCCAGTCTAGCACACGAAGCCATAGGGAACAAAATACTTGCTTCTTTTATATACTGTATATATATAAAAGACTGCCTCTTAATTTTGCATTGTTTAGAAAGTAACCTAAATAGACAAACAAATTGATCCTACTTAGATTATTCAGAATGTGGAAAAGGCCTGGATAAAAGAAGAAATGGCATGACATTCACTCATTAGCAGAGGAAGAAGAGCAAATATAAGATCCTCAGGTGTCCTATTTTACAGAAGTCAGTTGTCAATTTTCAGGGCTGTCAGAGGCTTAAGATGTGGACAGGTGACAGTTCTCTGTATGAAGGTGTCCTCTATTTGAATGGCCGGGCATTCCAGGTCTGGCTGAAAGATACTGAAGGAAGAGCAGGAAGGAAGAGCAGGGGCACTGAAGTTGCCCATCAACAGATAGCACCTTGGCAGCAGACTAAGCACAACCACCTAGGCCACAGTCTTCTCCACTACAGTGAGATGTATAATATTCCCATGTAGAATTATAGGGTGACCTAACACATCAGTCATACTCAAGGTAATACCATATATCCAGCTAATTCATGCTCAGAATCACTCAAATCAATGGGTCTAGTGACTATGATTTAGTAGGATATAAACTACTAATATTTTTAAATGTGCATCTATACGGAGCGTATGCAAATAGAGGTCCATTCCTTTGACCAAGTGTCAATGGCCACTCTAAGCAAAGACGTGTCCAATTTCTGCAATCGGGGTTATCTAGGGTTGCAATATTGTATGTTCAGTCAGGCCCTTTTGTTTTCTCCTGATCAGGAGGAATCCAGTTTGACCCTAAGTAAGTTTACTTTGAAGGAAGTCAGAGTGCTTCCATAGTCTTACTCCCTAGTAAGTGCACGTTGGGATAGGGCTAGAGCTCCGTTTCAGAGTGCATGCTTTGTATGCAGGAGGTGGGGTCCCAGGCATTTCCAGATAGGGCTGCTAAGAAAGATCCTTCCAGAGCCACTGCAAGTCAGGGATACCCAGGCATTAGAAGACCTATCCACCCAGATCTTCAGGAGGGCCAGAATTGTATTTTGCAACGTTTTCCACATTAGTTTGTGGAAATTTCTTGCTTGCTTCAGGGCAGTATGTTGCTGAAGGGAATGGCACACCTTCCCCTACAGCGAGAATTCCTACAAACACACCACACACACATACACAGAGCATATTGGGGAATGGAAGCAGCAATGACTCACAATTCCTCTTCCAATACTTATTTTAGTGTGTGTAATTCCCCTTTGAGAAAATTCCAGTCTTACTGTATTAGAATGAAGCGCATGGGGCACTAAATGTGACACTCATTTGGTACCAATGTTCTGGGCCTGGTTACATGCCACAGAAGTGTTCTGGCCTGGCCGTGTCAGAGCTCCACAGTCAAAAACCAGGGACTAGAAGCTCTCCCAGAAATATTAAACATAGAATACAAAAGTGGCCTTGAATAAGAGAGAGTGTCTCTTGTTGGAAAGGTAGGATGTGTGGGCCTGTGTTTGTGATTTTCTTGTACGTTTTATGCTCCTTATCGCTACCCCCAACATCTGTGAGCTGAGGATCCCTTTCCCATCATCACCATTGGCCCAGATTGCGCTGGGCTCCCTGGCCCCTGACCCTCAGCCCCGCAAAGAAGGGATCAGCAAGGAACTGGACGTGACGGAGGACATCTTGCATGTGTGAGTATTGGCCAGGCGGCCCCTTCTACAAGTGGCAAGGTGTGGTGGCAGTCAGGGCAGATGGTGGGCTCTGAGTCCTGGGTGCAGCCTGCTGGAAGGTCTCCTGCACAAGCTGCAGGAGGATGAGAGACAAGGTGGCGCTGTAATGGATGGCATGTTGGACTTGAACCAGGGTTTAAACAACAGCAACAGTTTTATTATTTGTACCCCGCCCATCTGACCAGGTTGCCCCAGCCACTCTGAGCAGCTTCCAGTAGATATAAAAACATAAAACATTTAAAACTTCCCTATACAGGGCTACTTTCAGATGTCTTCTAAAAGTTGTATAGTTACAGTCATACCTCGGGTTAAATACGCTTCGAGTTGAGCGCGTTCGAGTTGCGCTCCACGGCAACCCGGAAGTAACGGAGCACATTGCTTCCGGGTTTTGCCGCTTGCACATGCGCAGACGCTCAAAATGACATCACACGCATGCGCAGAAGCGGCGAAAAGCGATGTGCGTGTGCGCAGACGTGCTGTCGCTAGTTACGTTTACCTCTAGATACGAACGGGGCTCTGGAATGGATCCCGTTCGTATCTAGAGGTACCACTGTATCTCATTGACATCTCATGGGAGGACGTTCCACAGGGCGGGTGCCACCACCAAGGAGGCCCTCTGCCTGGATCTCTGTAACCTCATTTCTCACAGGAGGGAACTGCCTGAAGGCCCTTGGAGCTGAACCCTTTTGAATGAGTCTGTTTCTTGGCCTGACCTACCCCGCAGGGCTGTTTTGAGCATAACTTGGAGGAAGAGTGGGGTGCAAGTAAAATAAAGTGGGGTGCTGAGCAAGACCTGCGTTTGGATCCATGTGCTTCTGCACACAGGACAACTTCCTGGGGACGTAGGAATCTGCCTACCACCCATTTAGCACCATCTGCAGTTTTTCAGCTGGACAGACAGGCGTAGCTCCCAGACCGACCAGGGATTGACCATCTGCATGCAAAGTGGCTGCTCTCCCACTGAGTTGGGCCCCTTCTGCACCCCGACCTTCTGTTGTCTCCCCTTGCTGACTTAGCTGCCAAAATCATTCATCTCTCACACCACTCCGGTAACATGATGCTCATCCCTCGGATGTATCACAAACGCCTTGCTCTTGCCTTCAGAGCCCTCTGTGGCCAGGCTCTCCCATCCTTAGGACAGCATTCTTGTATCCTGAGACATCTCTGCCTGTGATCTTTGCTCCTCAACCTCTAGATGTCTTCTGTTCCCCGAAACAACACTGCCTTTTCCTCCCTGGTGCCCCATATGCCTGGTACCCCCTCTCAGAACCCCTCTGTGCATCCTCCTCGCTTATTTCCTTCAAGCCCTCCCTCCCATCACCTTTCCCTTGGAACAGGGACACTGCAGCAGCCAGGCCTCTAACTAAAGCTCAGCACTTGTCAGTCGAATCATCGCCTCCTTTGCCTGCTCCCATCTCCCTCTCCTTCCTCTGTTGTGCCAAATTTTAAATTGTAAGCGTGTCAGGGCAGAGATCTATCCCCTTGTATTTTCTGCAAAGTGCTATACAAGCTGATGATACTATATGGAGGAGGAGGAGGATAATAAGAATAATTCCTCCTTTCCTCTCTGTTGAGTCCTTTGCATTCAGGCGGTGCTATGATAAGAATAATTAAGTGAGACAGTATATTTTCTGGCATCCAAATGTATTGGACCAGGTGCCCAGTGTCTGCCAAGAGTAAAAGGGAAGCTCAAGGACTGGAATAGAATGAGGATATTGGCAGAAGGAGTGGCATGTTCATTGGACTCTTAAGTCTAGTGCAAGTGTTGACGTTTTATGTTTCAGTCTACACTATATATATTTTATTTTTTTGCAGTCCATGGAGAGCGGATGAAGCCCGGATTCTGCGTGTGTCCATCAGCTCCTTCCTGAAGCATCTCTCCTTGGTGGTGGAAACTATGGACTTGTTTGGGCCTCCTGTGGCTTGATAGATGGTTGCAACAGGAAGTTTCCCCATATTCTTGGCTGGACTCTGGACTTGCCCATGGGCTACCGATGTCAGAGGAGGTGCTGAACATGCCATCCTTAGAGCCAAGATGTTGCTTTGTGTTCTGGAGCCAGCGGGGAACTCTCTGCTCTCGGATACTCTTGGGCATTGATAGATTTTGTGTGCTGAGAAGCAGGCAAGCCTGGGACTGCCTTGATATAAGACAAAGTACATAGACTCTGGTGCTCTAATAAATTATCCAGTGTACTTTACTTTATAGTCTGCATGTGTTAACTGATTAAATATATTTGAGCCAGCTCACCATATTGATTAATCAATTACACAAACACAAGCAAAATCTTAACCATAGTGTTTTGGGGTGGGGTTTTTCTTTTTGAGGCTCATGAACTGAGATGATCTCATAAGAGAGAAAATTCTAACAAAAAGACAGATGCTGATGTTCATTGTTTAGAAAAGGGAAAGCCATCTGTTTTCTAGAAATAGAAACAGGAAAACCATCAATTCTTTTTCGTCAAATTTGTCAAGAAGGCAGTGCTCTGAGGCTTGAGTTTATAAATTGTGACTTTGGAGTTAAATGAAGCTGACAGATCTATGCTTCTCTTCTTCCGTTCTGTTCTCTCCTACATCAGCCATGGAAAACCGCAGGCACTCCAGGTGTTGCTGGACTCCAGTTCCCTTCAGCCCATCCAGCGTGGCCGAGGGTCAGGGCTAATGGGAGTTGTAGTCTTTGCAGCACCTGGAGAGACACAGGTTCCTCATCCCCCTTGCTGCGTTTCTCTGTCTCTCTTGCCACCAGGGGGAAAGCAGCTAATAGCTGGCAGTGAGGAAGAGGAGGGGGCCAAGTGGCAGAGGAGCCAAAACGGATGGCATGGCCTTGAAGTCCCATTTATATAGCAAGATTTACTTTCATTTTTTCTTTCTGGCATGGCTCCTACTTGTTAAACAGCAAGCAAAACTTCCCCACCTCGGTCACCACCTTTGCATTCTGGTGAAAGCTTCACCTGTTGAATTTCTGTTTGGCATTTGTCGTAAGGTACACTAATCATAAAGATGCTGGCAGCTCCCTCTTGAAGGCACACCTGCTGCAACCTGGGTTTGTGCTTGTGTAAAAAGACCCAAGAGCGCTTCTTGCCAGCCATTGCTGTTCCTGAACCAGGATCGTCTTGCCCAGTTATCCAAGCTCTGGTAACCTCCAGAGTGGGATTACTGCCATGCACTGTAAGTGGGGCGGTCCTTGAAGACGGTTTCTGAAATTACTAGTGCAGAATGCAACTGTCAGGTCCCAAATTATAATAGAGCACCAGACCTGACAGCCTTGCACTGGTTGCCTTTGTGTGCCTGACCCCAATTCAAGGGGTTAAAATTGACGCATAAACCTTAAAAGACTTGGGACCCAGATAACTGAACGCACATGAGTCTCTTTACCAACTTGCTCATGTGCCTAGATTGGCAGGAGAGACCCTGGACTGGCCATAAGGAGGCCATAAATCAGGCAGGCAGGCGGGGACTGGCAGAGTTTGGGGGGCAGGACCCTCTTAGCCCCAGTGGACCAGCCTCCACTTTCTCCCTGGGCTTAGAAAAACAGGGAAATAAACGGACAACATGGCCCAGAGTGACCCACCTTGTAGGAGGGAAGCTAAAATCAAAGGCAGTAAAGGAAGCCGCATTCTTGGGCCGTCTAGCATTTTTATTTGCCTTCAAGATGCTAAGCGTGGTCTGAGATGACATCAGCCCCGTCCATCGGAATGGGGCGATGATGGCATTTCTTGAGGGGCGGAGGGAGGTGGCTGATCTGGGTTGTCTGCGAGATCGCCCTCCCCGGACCCGCCTCCTCTCCCCTCCCTTTGGCCTCCTGCCACCGCGCACAGCTCCCTTTGGCCCATTCCTAAAAAGGTTTCGTTGCAGAGATATCAGGATTCCAGCCGTGTGAATCATCCCGCACCGGGTCTCTCAGGGGTGCCAATTATAGGCTCTTGCCCCCCCCCTCTTTTCCCTTCATTTTTGGTGAGCCAATGAAACTCCCTCGCTTTCCCCCTCCCCCTTGTTTATTTCTCTGGATCCTGGCATTGCTAGATGTGCGGCTTGGGGGGAAAAAGGCATTTTCCATTAATCGCCTTTGCGTCTCTATTAATTATCCCCATCTCTGGCAGCGCCGCGGTTCCTGGAAGTGGGGTGCGGGGGTCGGGGGTCCAGAAAGGGATTAGAATTGGGGCTGGAAGATCCGACTTCTCCCTTACTATAAAAGGAGCGTGCCAGGGAGGGCAAGGCGGCTGCACGATGGTTCTCCAGCGACAGATGAAAGGGAGCAAGACGCCTGCCGGGGAAGCAGAGGATTAGCTCGGCTCTGCGCGAGTGGCGCGAGCCGGCCACCAGATGGCGCCCTTCCCCCGCCCTTGGCCGCTTCGCCTCGGCTCTCCAAAGCCCCCTTTTATTTATTTATTTTTTTCAAATTTCAAATTAATTTTCCAAGAATTTTTAAGACAAACAAACATGCATCCTACTTGTACCGTAATTAAACCAATCTTAATAACATTGTTAAGTGACTTCCTCAAATCGCCCTGGTTGAGTTTCACTGTATATCATTTTAACAGTTTTCCAAAATCAATTTTCTCTCAAAATTAACTTGATCACTTAACATCTTTCATTCTTTCTAATTTAGCTTTAAACATCTTAATTCCTATCCTTACATATTTAAATCCTAAGCCTATCTGGTGTTTGCAAGCTTCCAAAGCCCCCTTTTAAAGGAGACGGAGAGATCATTCCGGGCACATTTCTTTGCCCACTGGCCTCTTGCACCCCGCCCGCCTCTGGTGCTGGCCTTTGCTGCTCCGGTGAGTGGCTGGCAGCTTCTCCTCTTGCTGGTCCTTCCCCAGAAACAGCTGCATTTCTGCATCAGTACAGAAGGCGATTCCCACTCCATCCCATCATCACCCCCAGTTCTAAGCAGCTGCTGAAGCTCTTGCGTGCCTCTGGGGAACCATGAACGCTCTCTTCTTTGCGATGGCTGGCTTTTCTCTCCCCCCCCCCGCCCATTTTTTTTATTTTAAAGGGGGAGGAATCAATCACATCTGGGCTCTGCAAAACCTCACCCTGAGTGGCTCTTTATTACCCCCCAGGGATGAGGGGAGGCCAGGGCAGATGGTCAGGGAGCACGTGTCTGTGGAAGCAGGAGAAGGGGCGCCCCAGCGTCCTCCAGACATCATCTGCAACCCATTTCCTCAGGCTGAGATCTCCGATTGTGGATTTGAGGATCTGGTGGTGGGGAGGAATCGAACTGCTACCCCCTTTCTTCTGCTAGACCACTGAATTGTCTTCCACACACCCCCCCGGCTTGGCAAAGAACCCCGGAGTCCTAGCTGCAAAGATGGGAGAAAGTTGGGGGCAGAGAAGATGCAAACACCCTCCTCCCCACCTTGGGCCCTGATTCTTCTTATTGATGCACCTCACATACTTCAGCACATGGGGGGGGGGGGGATAAAAGGGAAAAACAGGGTCCAGAGAGTGATCTCAGCTACCTGGCCTCGTTCTGAGGAACTGCACTGCCAACCTGCAGTCCAGAACCTTTGGTTTGTTGCAGTGGGGAAGACTTTTGCCTGGGAGAGCTGATTTGTTGATGGCATTTCTACCTTTTGCTGATTATTTTCAGATCAAAGCAGGGGAATTGAACCACAGGCATAGCCAGGATTTTGGGTTTGTTTTTTTTTTGGGGGGGGAGGCCTTTTGTTTGAGGAGTGGCGGAACCTATGTATTTTTATTGATGGGGGGCTGCCCCCCGGCTACGCCCATGCATTGAACCCATGCATCCTAGCAAGCTCTGCATTCCACCCCTGCGCCTCCGGTGATGCCACAGATATCTTTCTGGCTCAGAAGATTGAGCCTAGGCATCTCTACTGTGCTCTCCCCGGTCTGAGGATGCAGTTGGCATACAATGCCACTTCCGTACGCGATTAATGTGCTAAAAGCCCCCTGATCGTAATTAATCTTTATGAGGCTGCTCTGAACTTCTATCCGATTCGCATTATAATCTTCCTTTCTCTCCACCCAGAGGCAGAGGGTGTGTGTGTGTGTGTGTGTGTGTGTGTGTGTGTGTGTGTCAGGGCTAAAGATTTACAGGCAGACACAGGCAGGCTCAGTGGAGTATGGCTGTCTGAGGCCTGGTTCTTGACTGGCTTTAAATGAGAGGGGAGTGTTAAATGCTGCTCAGGGCTCCTTGAAGACCACACCAGGCCCCCCCAGACTGGTGCTGCTCCAGCAGGGTGTGCGGGTGTATTGTGACTCAGTAATAACGCTTTGGTGGCAGATTTATACTGGAGCATCCACATGTCGTTTTGCTTTATTAGCTGTTCTTTGATGCTTCCCCAACATTACTGCATGATTGCCACCCAGAGGGGCACAGGAGTGAGTGCAAGAAAGCAACACAAAACCTTGGAACCTTTGTGCTATGAAAAGTTACAAAGATTTCAGCAGGAAGCTGGGGAACACACACGGAACGGAAAAGAAACTGGAACTTTTGTAGGTGAAAACGGTATTCAAAGCAGGATCAAATAATCATGAATGCACAGTCAAAATGACTCTTGGAGATGCTGCAGCTGAGGATGGGAGGAGAACAATATTTTTGAGCACTTCCTTACTTTTTTAAAAAAAGTCTCCCTGCAAGTAGAAAATTAGCACACTGCACGCCACGTATTGCACCCCAGCTTCTGCAACCTGCAACCGTACAACTTGAGTTCTGAAGTCATCTCTCCCAGAGTGCCGTGTTCGACTGAGGCACTAGAATTCTGGACGGTGCCACTTCCCAGAGGAAGGGCTGTGGCTCTGTGGCAGAACAGCTGCTTTGCATGCAGAATGTCCAGTTTCAGTCTCCCAAGTGGGGCTGGGAATGTCCCCTGCAGAGTTGCTGCCAATCAGTGTAGATAATTCTGCACTTGATGAAGTAACAATTTGACCCAGCATAAGAGCTTCTTAGGTTCCATACTTCAG